GTGACTATGTTGTACCTCCCCCCAGACCTTCACTCCTCCAAACATACTACTATACCTATCATACTAGACTCAAGATTGAGCTCTACTGGATAATCTGCTACTAACTTTTCCTTCTCCACATTGGTACAAAACTTGTAATTAAGGATGGTTGAACTGGCTCTGTGAGCTTTGTCCTTCCCATCCATTTCTTCAGACTCATTTTGGAGGTATTTTTTAGAACTACTTTGAGAGATAGTAATCTCTTTTAGTATTTTATTATATAAAAAGTAATAATTTGTAATTTGTTATTATAATTACTAATAAAATAACTTGACCCATCTTGAAGAGTCAGGAATTTTGGAGATAATAAGTTAATTCTCCATGGTCATTTGGGATCCGGTTCTGCCATTTCAGTAGGACATTAGACTATGCTCTCCTCCTATACCTCTGGCTCTTAGAACAGTCAGCAGCCTGGATGGGCTAATAGGGAAGCCTCCTGGCATCTGAGCACCCTCAGTTAGTTGGTTTTGGTCTTGATCATCTGCTAGAAGCCATACTTCCTTGCCAATTCCAACTAACTGAAGGAGATCCTGATTTTTATAGTTGGCAAGCCAGTTAAAAAAAAAAAAGAACCCAGTTTTGTTTTTGGTTTTGTGTGTGTGTGTGTGTGTGTGTGTGTGTTTTGTGTGTGTTTTTTTAAGCCAGTCAAATTCAGGAGATTGTATACAAACTTTAGCTGCACTAACATTAATAGTTTCTGATAACTGACTACCATCAGACCAGCCTCCACAGGCGTTTTTATGGCTAGTTGTTTGGAAGTAGACTACCAATTCTTTCTAGATAAGTGTCTCTGGGTGAATTAGAACCTCTACCTTTTGGTTAGCAGCCTAATGTGTTAACTACTAGCACGGCACAGAGACTTTAAGCAGCTGGTTTTTGTTGTTGTTGTTAGGTGCCATTGAGTTGAGTACAAGTCATAGTGACCTTCTGAACAAAAGATCTGAACCTTCTTCTACCTTGTGCCATGCTCACACTTCCTGACACACAAGAGCCCATTGCAGCAGTAACTGTGTCAATCCACCTGTTTGAGGGTCTTCTTTTTTTTCACTGACCCTCCACTCTTCCCAGCATCACGTCCTTCTTCCAGGAAAATCTCACTCCTAGAAGCATGCCCAAAGTGTGTGAGGCAAAGCCTCATAATTCCTGCCTCCAACGAGCACTCTGGCTGCACCCACTCCAAGACAAAACTGTTTATTCTCCTGGCCATTCATGGGACGTTCAGTGTAGTGTTGTAACACTACAGTTCGAAGGCATCAAGTCTTCTGTCATCCTTAGTCATCTGGCAGTGCCTTGCTTTTCCTTTGAGATATGAGGTTGAGTGGCTTGAGGTGTCAGACTCTTCAATCTCAGTCGAAACCAACTTGCCTTTGTTTTCATGATGTTGAATCAGAAGCTAAAATCAAACAAAACTTCAAGTTTCAGAGGAATCTAATAAAGCTTCTCAGAACCCATATTAGTTTTGTTTTTACTGTAGTAACCTTAAGATCAAAATACTCAGGTCTTACTGGGCCTTAACCTACAAGCCATATGATCCATTTTCTGTGAAATATAAATTGACACTACTATACAGAGACAAGCGTTCACAGGAGGATACAGAGTAGTCATAGAAACCATGACAGTTAAGACAGGAGAAATTAAACTGATGGTACTTTCAGTGTGGTTACAATGTGGTCAGCCTAGACTTTTATGTGGAATTGCACAAGTTTCAAGTAAAAATTAAGGTATTTTCAGACTCATTTAAACAACTCAGTTGACAAAAATGGGCAGACATGAACACTCTGGTTGCACTTCCCTCAAGACAGATGTGTTTTCCTTTGACAGTTCATAGTATATTCAACACTCTTCACCAACATCACACTTCAAAGGCAACACTTCTCTGTTATTCTAATTTATTGTCCCCACAATCAAATACATTGGAAACAATTAAAAATGCCATGGGTTATCAAATGTACCTTAGTATTTAAATTTACATCTTGCTTTTTAGAACTTTGGATAAGTGCTCAATAGCAGATTTCCTCAATGAAACATGTCTTTTGATTTTTTTACTATTGCTGCTATGGGTATTGATCATGGATCTAGGTAAAATCATTGACATATTCAAGCTTTTCTCCATCTATCCTGATTTTGCCTTATGGGTCCAGTTAGTTTCAGTTAATGTGCCCTTGAATTAGAACTGACTTATAGGTGACCCACTAGTGGTTTTTCAGAGGTTATAAATCACCTAGCAGATTACCCATTTTTCTCCAAAGAAGCAGCGGGTAGATTCAAACAATGTATCTTTCTTTGAGTTGGAAGCTCAACTCCTTACCTCGAGGCCACCAGAGGCCCTGATGGTCCCATAGTGAGTATTTTTGTTTTCTTTTTTTTTTTAATTTATTGAGATTTTATGAAAGTTTATAGAGAACTTGGATTTTCATCATTCATTGTTGCAAATTTTCTACCCTGCCCAACCCCCAAATTGCTTTTTTCTTTGGAAATAAAATTCTTTCGTTGTTAGACAGACACACACACTCCATTCCACTCTATTATGCATCTCGTATTCTGGACTCTTGTCATACCAATAATACCTAATCATATATTCCTTTTATACAGTTCTTTCCCTCATCTGTTTCAATGCCATGTACATTATTTATCCCCTCTTTTCTTAGTTTCCCCCAACCCCCATGTCAGTCCAGTTTTATAACAGTGGAATTATGC